GTTTTGGTGATTTTATTGTTGTCCTACTTGAACATATGTTATAAAATTTACACTACTTTTTTTTGCCTTAAACAGTCAATTCTCTTTTTTAAAAATAAAAAATAAGATGATTCGTCCACGTTTACTTACATATATACCATCTGTAAAGCTCTTTATTGCTTTACATAACCAGTTTCAACTTGCTATCATTTTCTTTTAGCCTGAAGACATCTTTAATATTCATTTTTGTGATGAATTTCTTACCTTCTGTGTATCTAAAAATTGTTTATTTAACCTTTATTTTTGAAAAGTATTTTAGCTAGACATAGATTTTTGGTTGACTTTATTTTCTTCAAAACTATAGGTCACTGTTCAGCTGAGTATAGTGAGACACACTTGTAGTCCCAGCTACTCAGGAGGTGGAGGCAAGAGGATTAAGCCCAGGAGCTCAAAGCTACAGTGTGCTTTAATCACACCTGTGAATAGCCACTGCACTCCATCCTGTGCAACATAGCAAGACCCCAACTCAAAAAAAATTCATTTTCTTAAACAAATTAACCAGCAAAAAACAACTTTATTAAAAAGTGGGCAAAAGGACCTGAACAGACACTTTTCAAAAGAAGACATACACACAGCCAAGAGGCATATGAAAAAATGCACAACATTGCTAATCATTACAGAAATGCAAATCAAAACCACAGTGAGATACCATCTCACATCAGTCAGAATGGCTACTATTAAAAAAACAAAAAATAACATGCTGGTTATCTTGTCAGAGAAAAGGGAATGCTTATACACTGCTGGTGGGAATGTAAATTAGTTCAGCCACTGTGGAAAGCAGTTTGATGATTTCTCAAAGAACTTAGAACTACCATTGGACCCAGCAATCCCATTATTGGGTATATACCCCAAGACATATAAATCACTCTACCCTGAAGACGCATGCACACATATGTTTACTGCAGCACTATTCACAACAGCAAAGACATGAAATCCATCTAAATGCCCATCAATAGTAGATTGGATGAGGAAAATGTACATATACACTGTGGAATACTATGCAGCTATAAAAAAGAATAAAATCATGTCCTTTGCAGCAACATGGATGGAGCTGGAGGCCATTATCCTAAGCAAACTAACACAAGAACAGAAAACCCAATACTGGATAAGTGGGAGCTAAACATTGAGTATACACGGACACAAAGAAGGGAACAATGGACACTGGGGCCAACTTGAGGGTGGAGAGTGGGAGGAGGGTGAGGATTGGAAAACTACCTATCAGGAAGTATGGTTATTGCTTGTATGATGAAATAATCTGTACACTAAACCCCCATGACATGCAATTTACCTATTTAACAAACCTGCACATATACCCCTGAAAACTGCAAGTTTAAAAAATAATGTTTCAGAAAATTTTACATCTGCCATACTTCCTTAGGAAGTTATTAGAAGATGTGTGCTAGCAAAATAAGAGGTAATCCAGGAAAGAGTGTTTTCAACCCAGGAGTATGACAAAGAGAATTTCCAGGATGACAGCCCTGATTTAGGTCTGGAGATCAACCGCTGTATATGTACTAAAGAACATATATGAAAGTGTCTCTGAGGGAGATATCCAGGGAATAAATAAAGGAGAGAATATAGCAAAGTATTTCTGATATGATAACTGCCTGGGGAGAAGAAGAAAATAAGACGACGGCTTACTCCTGGAGCATTTAAACCTTTAAAGAATGGTATTTATATAGTCAACAATAGTGCTTTAACAATATTAAGAGGATGATGTGGAGAGGCGCAGATGGTGGTTTAAGAATTAAATCCCATAGGAATAAAAATTTTTTAAATCACTCCGTAATATATGAAGTCATAAATAAAAAAACAGCAGAATATCTTGATTCTCTTACTTTGAATTGCAATGATAGTAATAGTAATAAGAGTAAGTTGAAAAATTAAAAACATTTTTAAAAGTTCATTTTAAACTATGTATCACTCTAAATATACAGTTCTATTGTCCTCTGGCTTGCATTGTTTTTATAAGAAGTTTGGAAAATTTTTACATTTGTCCTCTGTGTGTAATATGTTTTTGCTTTTGCTGCTTTTAAATTTTTCTCTTTATCACTAATTTTTAGTAATTTAATTATGATGTATTTTGAGTAGTTTTCTTTATGTTCATCCTGCTTTGATTTTAAGTTCTTAGATTTGGGGGTTTAAGTTTTCATTACATTTAGAACTTTTAAAATGTTAAGTCTTCTCTTTTTTTTATTCTCCTTCCTCTCTTTTCTCTCCTTTTAAAATTCCAATTAAGTTTGTGTTAGACCATTTGATATAGTTACGCAGGTCATCGAGTCTTTGTTATTCTTTTTGTTATCTTGTTTTTTCTTCTTTCATTTGATTCATTTCTATTGGTATGTCTTCAAGTTTACTATTCTTTTCTTTTACAGTGTCTAATCTGCTTTAATACCATTCAATGTGTTTTGTATTTCAGATGCAATTTTTTTTGCTCTAGAAGTTCGATTTTGCTCTATTTTATTGAAGTCATTACTTCTGTGCCCATCTAAATAAATATATGCATTAATGTGAACCCAATGTGAATTCTTAAAAGATGCTCAAAAATGTATCAAAATTCAGTCAAATCAATAAATGGGTTTTTTTTCTAACTCTAGAAGTTACCACCAGGATTTCCAGACCTACTTTTATGATCCTCTTCCACTTCTTAGGTGTTTTCCTACTGGCCTTAAAAACATAACCATTAAATCAAGTAATGTGCCCTATGTATCCCACCACCTTTAAAAGTTGGCAGTGATTCTACCATTTCACCTATTTCATGTTTCTTATATAAAATGGGGGTATGTGAGTCAGTTATAACTTTTTTCTTTTCTTTTTCTTTTTTTTTTTTGAGATGGAGTTTCTCTCTTGTTGCCCAAGCTGGAGTGCAATGGCACAATCTCAGCTTACTGCAAGCTCTGCCTCCCAGGTTCAAGCTATTCTCCTCCCTCAGCCTCCCGAGTAGCTGGGATTACAGGCAACTATCTGCCACTATGCCCAGCTAATTTTTGTATTTTTGATAGAGATGGGATTTCACCATGTTGGCCAGGCTAGTCTGAAACTCCTGACCCCAAGTGATCCACCCACATCGGCCTCCCAAAGTGCCAGGATTATAGGTGTGAGCCACTGTGTCCGGCCTATATAACTTTACCTTAAGCACATATACTTTGAAGCTAAACTGTCCGAGTACAGATTCTTGCTGTTTCTCACAGCTGTGTGACTGTGAGCAAGTTACTTAGCCTCCCTGTGAGAGTAAGAAATTAACATACATTAAAGTCTTAGAGTAGTGCCTAATAGCAGAGTATCTATTAGCCATTAGTGTTTTATGAGGATCAAATAAAATACGATATAAGAAATCTATAAACTACCATGTGAATTAGTACCATGATGATTTAGTAGCATTATAACTAAATCATTTCCCCTAGAGAAGAGTAGCTCAACCCTGAGGGTTCTGTGGGTGCTACCAAATGACATATCTATCACTGAAATATGAACATCCATCCTTTTACTGCTGGCTTCCTTAACTTACTCTTTCAAAAAGGCACTTCCAGCTCTAACATTTACTCTGAATGACTCATACATGAGAATTGAGGTTTTCCCTGTAGTTCCTAAAATCTATAAACCAGAAACTCAGAACCTTCTATGTTTCCCCAACCACAGGCTGTGGGCAGACCTGAGCCAGACACAGCAAAGGAATCTCGTAGGCAGGGAACCGAGACCTCCAGACAGGGCTGGCCCCTTCCGCCTTATGTCAGAGACCTCTTCTCAGGGCCACAGTGGGCTCTTAGAGGTACCATGAGAATGAGTCTCTGTGGCCAGCCCTTTGACCTGCTAGGCCAGAGGGGACTGGGAAGTGAAGTTGCAGAGGATTTAGCAAGATCCAAGGGTTAGACAAGTGAGAGCAAGGGTTCAGAGCAGTCAGCGAAGGCCTGGGGTACACAGAAATCAGAATGTCCCGAGGGTGAGGGTCCCTACCTGAAGCAGCACAGAGCGGCAAAGGTGCCAGCTGCCTGGAGAGTCCAGAGGGGAAAGCAGATATTGTCAGACTGGACACCCACAGAATGTGGTGAATTGAAGAGGGACACAGGAGGGTCAGTCACAGAGTCGAGAGTTTGTTTGGGATTGAACAGAGATGGATTGAAACCCAGAACAAAGTGGTCAGCAGAAACACAGAGATTTGCTCAAACTTTAGAGGGCTTAGAACTTGAACTTGATAAAATGCAGATGACCAGGCCCAAACCCCAGAAAGCCTGCATATGGCAATCTGAATGGGATATACAATTCTGCATTTTTAACCACCACCCAGCTTATTCTCACATGGTCCTTGGGCTACACACTTTAAGAAACCCTTAGTCTACTGGCCTAAGGATCAAGGGTATAGCCTCTTTGTAGAAAGGTCCTGCTTGGTGCGCATGGCCCTGGACACCCAAGGGTAGACAATAACCAGTAGAAAGACCAAGAAGGTGAAACGAAGAAATGGCCCTCTTGGACCCTTGACAGCTGCTTATCTATTCAGTACCTTTGTGCGAATTTTTTTAAAAAGTGATCCTTGTGGGCAGATGAATTTGACAAAGGCACCCATTCCTCTGGATGGAGCAGTCAGATCAAGGCTTGAGGCGCAGAGGTCAGGATGGGTTTCAGTCTCCAATGTCTCCTTAGCTGGGTGGCCTCAAAGAACCTGAGAGAGAGGACCTGGGATTACCCTCTGAGGTCCTCCTGGTCGCTGACGCTGCACACAGGGGCACTGGAGACCAGTCGCAGATGCTGGTAGGATTGCAGGAGCCCAGAGGCAAGAATTCATGTCTGGAGTCAGTCTGGACCGAGTTCAAGTTTTGGCGCTTCTATTTCCCAATCATGTGACCAGGAACAAACTTCCTAACCTCTTACCAAGCCTCTGGAACTTAATCTATAAAATAGAGAATACTATGGCCTGCCAGTGAGGCAAGCTCAAAGCCAAGCAGCCATTCAGCACTTGTCAGGAACTGTGGCAAACGTTAGCAGCCTCCAACAACCACAGGAGAGTTGTCTGTCCTCCCACAACCTCACCACCAGGAGGAATGTCATAATGAAACCAAATACAAGATGACACGCTCCCATATACAAACATAATTAGCAGATAGGCACAAAACACAGCTGTTCCTCTAAGCGTGGTGAAGTCCCTGCTGTCGATCCTTAGGCATGCCACCAAGTGCCTTGCAAGAAAGTCCTTCCCAAAGCACATAAAACCTGGTCCAGACGTGCAAAAGACAAGGAAGGAAGAGAGCCAGAAGCCCAGTAGACTTCAGATGAGATGCCTGGTTATACACAACTATGTAAAAGAGAATCTATTGTTCTTACTATAGCTTTTCTTTTTTCTTTTTTCTTTTTTTTTTTTTGAGACAGTCTCACTCTTTCGCCAGGCTGGAGTGCAATGGCATGATCTCAGCTCATTGCAACCTCTGCCTCCCGGGTTCAAGCAATTCTCCTGCCTCAGCCTCCTGAGTAGCTGAGACTACAGGTGCACGCTACCACACCCAGCTAATTTTTGTATTTTTAGTAGACAAGGGGTTTCGCCATGTTGGCCAAGATGGTCTCGATCTCTTGACCTTGTGATCTGCCCACCTCAGCCTCCCAAAGTCCTGGGTTTAAAGGCATGAGCCACTGCGCCTGGCCAGTTTTTTATTTTTCTCTCATAATATTGGTATTTTGTAATTCAATGATCGTTGTCTTAGTCCATTCAAGTGGCTATCACAGAATACCATAGACTCATGGCTTCTAAAGCACAGAATTTTATTTCTCACCCTTCTGTAGACTGGAAGTCCAAGATCAAGTGGTCAGCAGATTTGGTGGCAGGCAAGGGCCCGTTTCCTGGCTCACAGATGGCCACCTTGTCACTGTGTCCTCACATGGCGGAAGGGGTAAGGGGCTCTCTGGGCTTTCTTTTATAAGGGTACTCATTCCACTCATGAGGGCTCCACCTTCATAGTCTAATCACCTCCAAAAGCCTCCACCTTTCAATGTGTGAATTTTGGAGAGACACATACATTCAGTCTCCAGCAATATGTTAGATGAATCACTGGTTGGGACTAAAGCCTTCTCCAAAATGGTTTTGAGGGACACGACTGTGGAAGACTTCATGACTCCCGAATAAAAGGCAACCTCAAAACTCCACCAAGAAGGTTTTGCTTAGAAAGAAAGCGGTGATGAGCAGTAGCTATCGAATCTAGACAGGGCCAGCCACATGATGTGTGGGACCTAGTGCTAAATGAAACATCAAGTTTCTTGTTCCAAAAGCAAGGGAAAAAACTCCTTTTTCTTTTCTTCCATCATCTCTCTCTCTCTCTCAAGCCATCATAGTGGTTTTTTGTTCACTATTTAATGTCATTCTCCCTCAGGCACAGGGATGCTTCTGGGGTGAGGGTAGCCCCTCATAGGCACCTGGGGTGCATACCCTACTCAATCCTCCCCAAACCTGCTCTCAGACCTGGCCAGGGTCAGAGAGAAACAGCAGTTATTGGGTGTGGGTAGAGGAGTGGTCAGCCAAGAGCCCATTCCTGTCAGGCGGGGAGGCAGCAGGAAGTGGGTCTGCATGTGTTTTGAGGCATCAAGCACCCTGCGAACTTCATTGTCCACCTGGACTTCATTAACAAAAAACAAATTCAAAACCAAATTATTAAGAACCTCAGAATGGCCCCCGCATAGCCTTAAACCCCAAGCCCAGGGCCTCCTTCTGAGTGCAGGACCCTACGTGACTGCCCTGGTAACCCACCCTGATGCTGTAACTCCGAAAACTCAGACGGAGGGAATTCACTGCTGAGTGAACCATGAAGTTACTAATTTCTTTCTTTTTTTTTTTTTTTTTCCTGAGATGGAGTCTTGCTCTGTCCCCCAGGCTGGAGTGCAATGGCACAATCTCAGTTCACTCATTGCAACCTCTGCCTCCCACTTGAAGCAATTCTCCTGCCTCAGCCTGCTGAGTAGCTAGGATTACAGGTATGCACCACTGCGCCCAGATAATTTTGTATTTTTAGTAGAGATGAGGTTTCACCATGTTGACCAGGCTGATCTCGAACTCCTGACCTCATGATCTGCCCACCTCGGCCTCCCTAAGTGCTGGGATTACAGGCGTGAACCACTGCACCCGGCCACGAGGTTATTAATTTAATAACACCAAAGGGTTAACACTAGGGCACCTCCAACAGCATCTTACTCCAAATTGGTGCTCAAAAATAGTTCGACACTGGGATTTTGAAAGTTCAAAGCTATTGAAAATAGGCCTCAATATAGAGAACAAATGCAAAATTTACACCAAAATAAAGCAGTCTAGATCAGGGTTTCTCAACCTCACCACTGTTGACATTCAGGCTAGGTCACTCTCTGTTGTGCTAATTGTCCTGTGCATTGTAGGATGTTTAGCAGTGCCCTAGCCTCTGCCCATTAGATGTCTGCAGGACGTCCTTCTCCCCTCTTATGGCAAGCAAAAAAGTCTGCAGATGTTGCCAGATTGCCAAATGCAATTGGAAATTGTCCCCAGTTGAGAACCATTGGTATAAAATTTAGCACCTTAATGTTTGGTTATTTTATTTACATTTGATGAGCAAATTGTAGATTATACTTTCATATTTAAAAGTTAAATTCTAGTGGGCTATGTTTATGGCATTTTTAATTTTTTAACTTAAAAGGTGTCTGTTCCTCAACGGCTGTGCCTTGTTTATTATCCAGACATGAGCATCGTCTTACATCAGCCATCGACAGTAAGTGGACGGAAGCTATCTCTGTAAGGAGGAAATGAGGAGCCTCTTTCAAAATATGCCACAAGGACCCACTGAAGGCACTGCCATAGAATTAACGCTGATTCCCAAGGTCTGGAGAGAAGCAGATGTGCTCATATCTAAGGGAAAAAAACAGATTCTGCAAAATTCATTTCAATGTGGCCGTGTTTTTGTGTGGCTGTGTTTTTGTGTTGCTTTGTTTTTTTCTGCAGATCAACCTAAGTGGGTCTTGTTTGGGCTGATATTGAAGTGGAAAAGGAAGCCCTCTGGGCTGGTGAGAAGCTGGAATCCCGAAGGAAGACAGGAGGTCAACAATTTGGATTTGACCAAAGACACAGTAGTAGAAAACAAAGTCTCTCTTCTACTTTTGGAAGCCTTCTTGGTGATCACTTCCTGTAATAAAGAGAAGACTAACAGAGCAGAAACTCTGTGGGGGTCCCTGTTGGTCTCCCCACCCAGGACTACCTTTTGACCAGCTGCCTGGCTGTGCCTGTCCCCCATTTCTAAAGATGGTGCTGCTACCTGATCACTCCTGTGACCTTCTGCACAGCGTTGCCCTCCAGAATAGGCAGATGTGGGTTACAAACTGTGTGGGGTTACAAACTGTGTGGGGTCACAGTTCCTTTGACTCCAAGTGGGACAAGCTTGGAGGTGCAATTTATACTCAGAGTTCTCGTGGGGATCAGGATGAGGTGTGGGCATCAGCTGGAATCACACCCTTGCCTCCCACCTTCCCCTGCCCTCTCCCGCTTCCCCCACTTCCTTACTCGGCTTTCTCGAGAGCACTTCCGGGAGGATACATCTGAATCCTCTGCTCAGGGCTGGCTTCTGGGAAAAACTGGCCTAAGAAATTTCCTTTCCCCCACAGGACCTTGAGGGAAATGTGGCCTGTGCATGTCCTCACGCCAAACCCAGAAGACATGGCTTAATTTCAGGGGCATCAGTGAGATCTTAAGGTTTTAAAATATCCCCCCGTCCCTGCTCCATTTTTTAGGCACTAGCGATTATGGCCAGAGCCAGAGAAGGGGCCTGTGCCAGATCCAAAATGGCTGCCCAGAGGAGCGGCCTGGGGTCAAACTGGAGAACCTCATCACCTGGAGTTCAGTCTGCAATGCATACCGAGGGAAAAAAAACAGCCTGGGACCAGGGTCCTGAGGCACAAGGGCAGGAGCCAAGGAAAGACTTAGGCTTCTACCCAAATTGAGAAGTTGGGCTAGTGTGGCAGAGCAGGCCTGGAAGCCCAGTCTTCTGACTCCAAGTTTAATGCCCTTTTTCTTTTTTTGAGACAGAGTCTTGCTCTGTCACCCCAGCTGGAGTGCAATGGTGCAATTTCAGCTCACTGCAACCTCCATTTCCTGGTTCAAGCAGTCCTCCCACATCAGCCTCCCGAGTAGCTGGGATTATAGGTGCCCACCACCATGCCTGGATAATTTTTGTATTTTTAATAGAGTTGGGTTTCACCATGTTGACCAGGTTGGTCTCCAATCCCCGACTTCAAGTGATCCGCCCGCCTTGGCCTCCCAAAGTGCTGGGATTACAGGCATGAGCCACCGTGCCCGGCCTCAGTGCCCTTTCTCACATGTACATCTGTCTACCCTTCTGTGCTGCCTTGTTTCATTAACTCTCTTTGTACCTGATTCCCCTTATAAATGAGATGCAAGTCTCCTTGAGAGTAGAGACAAGCCTAACCCTCATCCTAACCCAAACCCCATAGTGCCTAGGTCCAGACTCTTAAAACACACATTTTGGTGGATGAATGACTGACTAAGCAATGCTTTTCCTGTCTCAGTGTTTCTGTAAAGCAGATATATAGAGCTGCCATTCACAGTCGCATGGATGCTATTCACACACTCTGCAAAATGGACAGTCCAGAGCTGTGTGGTGGTTGACATGCTCAATCCTGAATCTAGAGCATCCTCTCTCTAAACAGTTCCACCCGATCCCCCAAGGTGTTCTGGAACATAAATTTGCAGTGCAAGATCTAACAGCCTTGAGGCAAAGGAGATAGACTTTTGTACTCCCACACAATGACTGGTATTTAGTGGCTGTCTTAAAAGATCAGTTGCTTGGATGAGTACACATGCAAGCTGAATGGTACAGCATGATGCGGTGAAGAAAAGGCATGGGCTTTAGGCTTTTTCTGGAGGGGGATGGAGTTTCACTCCTGTTGCCCAGGCTAGAGTGCAATGGCATGATCTTGGCTCACCGCAACCTCTGCCCTGCCGGGTTCAAGCGACTCCCCTGCCTCAGCCTCCCGAGTAGCTGGGATTACAGGCATGTGCCACCACACCCAACTAATTTTGTATTTTTAGTAGAGACAGGTTTTCTCCTTGTTGGTCAGACTGGTCTTGAACTCCCGATCTCAGCTGATCTGCCCACCTTGGTCTCCCAAAGGAGGCCTGCGCTCAGCCAGGCTTTAGGTTCTTTACAATGAGCTCCACCCTGAGCTAAGCCTTGGCTCTTCGTAGCTGTGTGATTGCGGGCAAGTTTCTTGCCATCTACCTAGGTCCATTTCACCCTTAATCCTCTCTACCGCCAAACACACGTAAGAATTGCTGGTGGAAAGAGAAACAAACAGGTGCAACTACTCTCCAATACACAATCTTTTGTAGAAAAGAAGAGCCATGTGGCATCGTGGTTCAAAACCCTGGTTTGGAAGTCAGACCTTTGGCTTCAAATCTTGACTCTGCTTGTGCAAAAACCAACAAGATATTTAAGTAAGCTATACCCCTAATCACTTACTCGTGGCAATGGAGATAGTTATAGTATACACCTCATGAATGTTCAGAGGGCACGAGATCATACGTGCATAGTGCTTAGCACAGGATTGGCACAAAATTGGTAAGTGCTGAACGAATGAATACATGAGCAAAAGGATGACTTGAATGGGTGATGACTAGGAGGGTCACAGGCTGTACATCACAAAATATGCAAATTCAACAAATGGTTGGCAGCTAACTTCCATTGCCCAGCGCAGCTCAGCCAGGAGCTGGAGAATGCTATTATCTAAGTCACCGTCCATTGCTCTCTTTATGGGTTGTATGGTTCCAGAGGAGGTGGAGAAGGGAAGTGGCCCTGGTGAGTAATCACAGGATGACAGAAAATGCCACAACATGGAAATTTGCTTCCTGTGTTCCTGTTCAAGCCAACTGTTAGAAACACATGCTCTCTCAAGCCTGACAGCCACATCAAGCTTCCATCTGAAGCACCTGCCATGTCAGGAAAACCCTCAAGGAGATACGATAATAAATATCAACCTTTGAAACCAGTGTAGTCAATGTGACAAACCCAGAGAGCCAATTAGTTTGAGTGTTGGTGACTCAAAAAGAGAACCTGGCTAGGAAAGTGTTGAGGCTTAAGCCTTGGTGGGCAGGATAGGGCGGACAGCTTAGTAATTGATCTGGGCAGCCAAGAAGAGCATCTAGAATAAAATCATTCCAAAGAAAGGGTATGAGAGCTGTTTTCAAATGGCAGACATATTCTCATATGGAAGAGGGACTCCAGTAATTTCAGGGCAGCTCTACTGAAGTAGAAGTTAGAAGGAAGTTGATTTTGACTCAAAATAACAAAGACTTGCTAACAATTAAAATGATGATCACTTTTAAGGACCTTTTAGGCAGGAACTGAACTGGATGTTTTGCAAGTATCACCTAATTGAACTCTTGCAAGAGCTATAGAAGACACACATTGTTATGCCTCAATTTTCAGATGAGGCAACAGAAACTTGAAGACATTAGAGTACATGCTCAAGATGGCAAGTAAAGATGACATTTGAATTCGAGTCTGCCTGACTCCAAAGGCTGCCACCAGTGGCTGTGCATTTTATGCATTGCACAAAGACACTTAGGATCGTTTTGCCAGAAGAAAGCATTATTTATTCTTTTTAGAAAGATGCTTTCCTCTGTAATCCCAGCACTTTGGGAGGCCGAGACAGGCAGATCACAAGGTCAAGAGATTGAGACCATCCTGGCCAACATGGTGAAACTCCGTCTCTACTAAAAGTACAAAAAATTAGCCGGGCGTGGTGGTGCCTGTAGTCCCAGCGACTCGAGAGGCCGAGGAAGGAGAATTGCTTGAAACCGGAAGACAAAAGTTGCAGTGAGCCAGGATCACGCCACTGCACTCCAGCCTGGCGATAGAGCGAGACTCTGTCTAGAAAGAAAGAAAGAAAGAA